AACCTCAGATATGCCTCAGAACTTGCACCCTACTTTTAAAAATTTCTTCTATGTTCTTTTCCTTTCTCGAAGCTTGTCCAATCAATTACATCTAGGGGGTTTTTTGGCCATTACAGTTTAAATCTGTGTGGTTTCCAGCCAAGAGGAAGGTACTGCCATTTTAGAGTAAATACCAGTGAAGGAACAGGGTAGAGAGAATGAGAAGCAGCAGTATACTGAAAGTCTGATTCTTTAAGAGGAAAGTGCTTTTCTATTGTAAATTTTCCTGAAGTTATAGCTGAACTCATTTTGAAGAACCTCAGTGATGAAGTTGTGTGGCTTGCGGGTTTCCTTAAGGGTGTCTGGGAGCATGACTGGCAGCAGTGAAAGTAGCTTTAGCTTCTCCCAACAGCTGCAATTGCTTGGGGTTCTGTAGAACATAAGGAAGCCATTTGAGAAGAGAACAAATGACATTTTGTTTCCTTTTCTTTTCCCACTTCAGAAATGGGCTGGTAGTTTCATTTTGTATCTCTTGTCCTATCAGGTCACTGTGCCAACTGCTGACAACATAATCATCATCATTAAGAAATTATATTTTAGCCTGATGGTGGATGATTCTTTTTCTGCTTGTTGGTAGCAAGTAATATCTTTTATTTGTGCCTTCAGGAAAAAATTTCCTCCATTTGATTTTTTTGTGGGTAACAAAAGCACAAATAAACTAGAGTCAAGTAGAAGATCAAGCCTTCTGTGTCATCTTCAGTCTCCTGCTACTGTCCTTTAAAGGTATTTTTTAGTCCTTCTATGCATATGCTTACTACATTAAGAACAGGAACAATGTCAGAGCCTAAACATTTTTTATTTTATTTCTTCAGAATTATGTTTGGTTTAGGGGGTTACGGAGAAGAAGATAGACGGGAGAGAATCACCTTTACCCTACAAGCAGTCATTCTTAAAAGAAGATAATCAAATCAAGTATGCCAATAAGTGCCATCGTAAGTAGATTTTCTGAATAGATTTATTATACTGTCACAGTTTTTAATACAAATGTTTATGAAAAAATCAGCAATACAGCGGAACGAAGACAGTAGTTGGTTCTCTGTCTTTCTCTGGCAAACAGATAATTCTATCTTGGGCCTTCCTTGCCAATTCCTGTATGATCCCAGCAAATAAAAGCTATTAGCAATAAATTTTCCCAATTCTGTCCATTTTAATCTAGTTTTTCTCTGATCTTAATGAATTGTCATAAATTCCTCTAGGTCAGGGATGGGGAACCTTGTTGAGGGCTAAGCAGGCTTTTCTGAGTCTTTTAAATGGCTCCATATTATCATACACCAGAAAAAATAAAATTACCACAGGTTGTATGGAATTAAAGTTCTCAGGCCTCAGAGTCCCTGTTCTGTTTCTACTTACAGCTTATGGCTGTGTTTAAACTAGGTTTCACAAGAGAAGGGACTTTTCTTGCTGAACATTGTGAAGATCTGCCTTATTATTGTCCAGATTCTCATCCTTTCATGTCATGTTTAGAGCTGCACTGGAGAGTATTATCATATTGGAGCCATTTCCCCAAAACACATGGAATGTGTTCGGCCAAAATGTGGTACCATTTAAGAAAGGGCTGAAGAATCTCTCTTGCATTTAAAATAGATAGAAATTATTCTGAAACTAAGATTTATTTTATCTAGAGTTATTTAATCCTCTCCAGTAGTGCTGTATGTCTGGGGGATGATGCAACAAAGATGCAGCTGACTCACCTAACTGGCACCAGTACTTTACAGGACTAGGAAAGGTTTGTCAAATGTCGCAGCGTGTGTTAAAAACAGTGTGTGATGGTATTCAGTTAAGCAATTCAAGTGACTCACTTACTGACCAAAGCCTGTTACAAGGTCTACAGAGAAACACAATTTAAGGGCATTGTAAATTTGAGTAGCTTTGTAACAATAACATAACTTAACTTTTGGTATGGTCTCATAAAAAAAGTAAATTCAGGTTACAGTTTTGCAGGAGAGTTTGACATAATGACATTGTCTGGGAGTTGCAAGAGATGTAAACTGACGATTTAGGACTCAACATTTCTTCAAGAAGTACATTTCTGAACTTGCTAAGGGGCTTTGCCATTTAGAAATGTGGGTATCTTCTTACTCTCTTTACACAGAGGGCAGAGAATTCCTCCCACGTGTCCCGATCACACTTGAGATCTTTCAGTGTTTAGAGATGAAGGCATTAACAACAATACATATTTAATGGGGAAAGCACCTTCTAACAAAATCTGTGACTTAAATGTACTATAAATCTAGTTGAAAAGAATAAAATATTTGCCTAGCCTTTATACTGAAGAAACCGTAATATGAGCTATTTTCCATCTGCACACAGACTGAGCTCTGGTAATCTGGAAATCAATCTAGCAACTGGAAAAATGCTGGCATGAATTTTGCAGGGTGAACAATTCACTGTAATCTTGGTATTATTTTATTATAAAACATGCAACATCATAATTTAGTCTTGAGAACAACAGGCCTGATGTCTTTGCTGAGAACACGAGTTTAGAGTTCACAGCATGCTGAATCACATTTTATACATCTAATGCATTGCTTAGATGCATAACATCTCATCATTTGATTTAAGCATCTTATCATCTTGTGGGCAGAATTTATTTAAAATTTAATACAGAAGTCCATGCTATTTTCTCAACCACAAATAAGCGATTTCTACTTTAGTCTCCACAGAGACTTTGAAAAGATATAGAGGAATGCTGCTCAACTGGAATGTTTACTTCACTGCAGCCTGTACAAAAAGGCAAATAAGCATAATCTCTTTTCCCAAAACTTTCCCACCATCACCTCTTTTCAGAGTGTTTGGCCTATTAATATGTTTAAAATAAGGTTACTTGCTCTTTGTAGTCAATTTGTTTTGCAAGAATGCAATAGATATGTTGTCTTCTCACAAAATTTAGACTATTTACAGTAGTTTGATGTGTAGCAAATTTAGCAAGGGTAAGAAAGAACTGATTTAATATTTTAAGAGTATTGTCCCTAATCATAAGCATTATATGCTATGTTTATTTTCAGTAAGGAGTGTTTATTTTTTCTTTATACACTATATTTATTTGTTATTAATAGATACAGCAATGTCCAAGCTAGTATTTAAAGCTTGTGTATACACATACACAAGTAGGTTCCGAGGTATATGCATATTATTAGGTTCTTTATGAACCATGCTGTCTGGTACAAAGTCATATTAAAATCTGGAGGAAGTATATATTTTCTTTTTTTTTTTTTGTGTCCAGGTAAAAAGCAGAAATAATTTATTACACTTAAGCATAAGCCTGGCTATGGTAATTTTTAGGGTACTAGGTGGGAAATCTAAGGAGATCAAAGGGAGGGTAAAAGTAAAGTCAAGGAGACCTAGAGCTGAGCAATCCATCATAAAACACAAGTATATAGAATAAGCACTATCCCATGAGTGCTTCTGTTACTCTTTTTATTTCCATAGCTAGAAGTATTAAAGGGGTGTCTATTAAAACTAAGTTTCAGCTGTGTCAATTTAGAATAGATTTCCAGCTCCTTCTGCATCTCATTCTGGGATTTAAGGCCAAAACATTTTGCTTTAGATCTAAAATCACTCCTAGTGATTTCTACATAGGAGGAGCCCCGTGTACAGTGTAATCCCTCATCTAATACTGCCCTGATTTTAGGATGCCAAAAAGATCTTTCTTTAGGGTTACTGTTTTTTGTATAAGGATGGGAGGCAAAGGTAGCAGGGTTTATCCTACCAAAAATTGGAGAAGTCTTTTTCTTCTTATCTGAGAATTAAGATAATCCTTTTTGGCGCCTGCTTAATTTTGCTTCCTCCTTGTTCTGATGGAAGCAAAAATGCAGAAATTATTTTTTCATCCTACTCATTTCTCTCCCCCCCCCCTCCTCCTTCCTCCCCCCCATGGGAAATGGAAAAAGAAGGGGAGGATTTATGTAGTAGAAAAAAAATAAGTAGCCACCAGAATTGGCAGAATAAACTCAAATTGCTCCCCAAAAATCATGATCTGCACTTGGACCTCAATTTAGAGAGCAGATGGGTGTTTTGCTACTTTGACAGCTCTCAGGAGCTGTCAGGAGACTATTCTGGCTATGTGTGAACTAGCAGACTCATGTGCAGGATGCTACCGCATCTGATTCCCAGATGAAGTGAGGCTTCGGTTCATAGCAGCATCTCCTGCAGCTTCATCAGCTCCGTATCAGTAGGAAGAAAACCCAAGTTCAAAGATCAGGGGAAAGCCCTAGCCCACCCTGGCTAGGTTTCCAACCTTAGATTGTTCCAACCTGGGACATACAGGACACGTTCATCAGCTGTCTAGACTAAAACAACCACTCACACCAATTAAACAAGTCCAGCTCAGGTGACTTCTGAGCTGCAAATCATTGCAGATTTGGGATGTACACCAGGGCAGTCACTCTATATGCTTATCTACTCCTACCATCCATAGCTACTAGCTATTGCCACTGCTGGAGACTGGACACTGGGCTACTTAGACCTTTGTTCTGAGCCACTAGCTCTATTATGTTCTTATTTTCACAGAGTTAGCCAAGGGACTCTATAGATACCCTTTCAAGGAGGGCTTTGGGATTTTTTTCCCCAGTAAAAAAGCAGAATTTCTGCGTGGATCTTTAATGATATTGTAGCCTAATTTTACACTGCAGTAGTCAAAACTTATTTTGCCCATTTTTTAACTGTCTTTCACTGAAGCTGAAGTTGCTCAGAACTGCTGAAATAAGCCCAGATCACAGAATCACAGAATTGCAAGGGTTGGAAGGGACCTTGGGAGATCATCTAGTCCAACCCCCTGCTAAAGCAGGTTCTCCTAGAGCATGTTACACAGGACTTTGTCTAGGCAGGCTTTGAATATCTCCAGAGAAGGAGACTCCACAACCCCCCTGGGCAGCCTGTTCCAGTGCTCCGTCACCCTCAGAGTAAAGAAGTTCTTCCTCATATTCAACTGAAACCTCTTATGTTTCCGTTTGTACCCATTGCCCCTTGTCCTGTCGCTGGGCACCACTGCAAAGAGTCTGGCTCCATCCTCGTGACTTCCGCCCTTAAGATATTTGTATGTATTCATGAGGTCCCCTCTCAGTCTTCTCTTCTTCAGGCTGAACAAGCCCAACTCTCTCAGCCTTTCCTCCTAGGGGAGATGGTCCAGTCCCTTTATCATCCTAGTTGCTCTCCTCTGGATGTCACAGACTGAAACAAAGGGAATCCTACTCAGCTCATAGGCAGCAGCACGCACAGGGCAGTTCTGTTACTCGGTTTGTAAGACATGAACTTGATGAAAATCCAGGCCTTGTTGCATCTGTTTGCTTCCAAGTTTCAAAAGTTCAGTCTGTTTTATTCATACTTCCAAGTGCCTTGATAACTATTTAGTTTGAACAGTAACTGCAACATAACTTCTAAGCAAATGCTATAATAACATTAATATTATAATCTGTAAATGCTACTTGAGTTAACTGAATTCTCTGGACAATTGTCAGAGAATGGAGAGTTACATCATTTGCTTTCCATTGCGCAAGAGAATTTTTTTTTTTAAATAAACTTTTGAGGATTATACTAACAAGCAAGTCTAACTATAAAAATAGTCTGGGGTATACAGTGAGACCTAGATTTCCATAGCATAAGCCGAAGTTGATAATGTTTAGGATTCCATAGTTTCTTACAGTTGTATATTTACTTGAGATATACACAATAGATAGTTTGTTTTAATTTACTGGTCAAGTTTGCAATATTGTTTGTAGATTTGCAGCATTAAGTCGTTCAAAGTCAGATATCAACAAATGAAGGCATGAGTTTAGTCGGGTGTTTCCAGTTCAGGACGAACAGACCAAAAGTTGTTCATACGTATGTGTTCCATTGGTGTTGATGTGGTTACACATGCATAATCAAGAGCAAAATTTATCCCTTTGACTTAAAGGTTAAAGCATGTAAATAGCCACAGTTAAGCTCTGCTATT